GAGAGCAGAAAATTACAAAAGAGCTTGTAGAAAAAAATATAGACATATATGCACTACAAGAGACGAAGAAAAAAGGAAAGGGTCAAATTATGCTAGAAGACTATCTGATGATTTACAGTGGTGTTGCGAAAAAACAGAAAAAAAAAGGAGTCGCCTTGTCAGTACACAGAAAATTCTTACACCAAGTACAAGAATGTAAATATACTTCTGAAAGAATAGTACGTATAAAAATTAAACTGGATGTCAAACCTCTGAATGTGATAGCAATCTATTCACCAGGAAACAACAGAGATACCACCACAAGGCAAAACTTCTACTCACACTTCAGACTGTAATAAACGAGACCCCAAATGATAAATATATAATTAATATGGGTAATTTTATTGCCCGTGTTGGCAATGATATAATTCTAGGAATAAAAGAGCGTACAGCATAAAGGAGATACGTATAAATAATACATTTTTTTCCTCACAAAGAACAATACAAAGAAACTTTTAAAAGCAGTAGAAAACAAACATATATGATAGAGTATATTCTGTCGAATAGAGAGTTACAGCCCGTCAAATCTTGGATGTACGAGCACTAACATCAGCAGAAATATGAAACGATCATAAATTGGTATTGTGCAAAATCCGAATAAAAACACATATATGTGACAAAACACCAAAATACACCACAAAGGTAAAAGTCGAAAGCTTACAGAATATCTATTCCAAAAAAGAATGACCGAAAAAAGCAGAAATACATGTATCACAGAAAGTGATGGAGTCGAAGAAAGCTGGGCAAAAGTTAAGTCTAATATCTTAGTCTCGGTTAAGGAAGTTCTTGGTGAAAGAAATTTAAATAGAAAATAATTCGTTCTTAAGACAAAGAACTCCATGGTTTTGTACAGAAGTGAAGGACAAGTTTTTGTTGGGGGTAAATATTGTCTTTATTTGTCTTGATTTAAGAATTATGTCAATTTTGTTAGTGACATTCTTGATGTAAGGAAAAAAAGATTGCTTTCATATAATGAGGGTTTGAGTCCTTAGGTAGAGATTGTGTGGAAGATTCATTTGTGTAAATACTCCTACTGGATGTAATCTTCGCGGTAACCGTTTTGGATAAGGCCTTTAATGTACATATTATGCGACATTTATAAATGTATTAACACACAGACATGCCTAAACACTTTCGAATCTAAGACTAAAACTGAAAAGAGCAAATTAGTGTTTATAATTGCCGAACAAATTCCAAAACCTAAAACTTTGAAACACACTATAGTGATTAACTTTTCTGATGCCCCTATTTCGACCATTTCTAATTAAACTTTAGCAAAAGGTGTAAATTACTCTGTTATCTCATGTCACATTCCAATTAAGACAATCATCTGTCAAACTAAAAAAACCACCTCCAGTTTATCTACCGAATATGCTAAAATAACTAGATAAGACATCGTAGAGTTTTTTGAATCAAAGCCTTCTACTCCAAACATTAGCTAATCCGAGAAAAAAGCCCTGTACAAAATGGGGTGTTCATCTTCTTAAAGTGCCGTGCACCTATAGTGCGTTGGCCAATTATCTTAATGCCAGACGTCTGTTTTTTGCGGGATCGTCAGTGTTATTTATGCCTGTACAGATCTTAATGTTTCGTAGCCACGACATTAGTTTGCGACCTACTTCTATCTTGCCTTCAATATTTCGCTGGGTGATTAGTTGAGGGATTGCGTATTTTTTTTCTCTTTAAAATATGGCCGAGATATCCAATGTTTCGTACCTTGATCAAATTGAGTAGTTCTCTCTTAGTATTTGCCTTTCTTAAGACGTCCTCGTTTCTCACCCTATATGTCCATGGTATGCAAAACATTCCTCGCAACTTCCACATTTTGAAGGCTTTCAACTTATTAATGGAAGGTATTCTTAATGTCCATATTTCCATGCCGTATAACAATGTGGATCATACATAGAATTTAACCATCCTGTAGCAGAGATTAAAGGAAAGATTGCAGTTACATAGTAGCGGTTTAAATTTGATAGAAGCTTGTCTTGTTTGTTCGGTACCGCATTTTATTTCTTATTGATGATCCTATTGGTCATTTATCATCATTCCCAAGTATTTAAACGTTTGCACTTGATCGACTGGAGCATTATCTACTTGCAATTGTATTCTTAAAAGTGCGTTTTTTCTTATTGCTATGCATTTAGTTTGTCCAGCATTTATCTTCAAGCCATATATTTTCCTACGGTGTTTATTTTATTTAACATCAACTGCATATCATGTTCGTTGTCTGTTATTATTGCGGTGTCTTCGGCGTAACGAATGTTATTTATCGGAAACCCGTTTACATTTATTCCACACTCAGAGCCTTCCAGTGCCTCTGCAAAAATGGTCTCCACATAGAGATTGAAGAGCATAGGAGACACAATACATCCCTGTCGCATCCCTCTTAAAATTCCAAAGACTTCTGTGTTAGTTGATTTGTTCAGTCTCACTCGTACTTTTTGATTTCAATAGAGATTCTGGATCTCTTATATATTTCTCGTTAATGTTACCATTGTGTAGCATTTTTATTATTGTGTCATGTTTTAGGGTGTCAAACGCTTTTCCATATTCAAGGAATGTTATGACTATATCCTTTCGTTGATTCATGCAGTTTTATACAAGCGTATTCAAGCAGAAAGCTGCTTCACATGTACCCAGTCCGCTTTTGAAACCAAATTGTGTCTCACCACTTAGATTTTCCAGCGTTCTGAACATTTTTGTGTGAAGGATGCGAAGAAACACATTAAGCAATTGGCTCATTAAACTTTTTCTTGATCAAAATGAGCATTAAAGTAAACTCAAAAAAAAACCAAATTTTTAGTGTTTAGTCGTGACCCACATTATGTTTGGTCTGTACTTTTGTATAGTGCAGAAGTGTGGAAGCTAAAAGTATAGATCATAAACAAAATTGAAGCATTGGAAATGTGGGTTCATAGATGAATGCTGAAGATACCTTGGACAGCAAGAAAAACTAATGAAGAAGTACTAAGGAGCGTCAACAAAGATAGAAAACCGTTAAAGACTGTTAAACATCGAAAAATGTCTTATCTGGAACATATAGTAAGAGAAGTCGATATACAATTTTACAATTGATCCTTAAAGGCAAAATAGATAACCGTCGAGGTGTAGGAAGAAAACAAGTTTCTTGGTTAAAAAACATTCGTGAATGGAGTCAGATACCAAATGCAGGACAATTATTTCATATTGCAGAAGATCGAGAAGTCTTCACAATGGTGATCGCCAACGTCGGATAGTTCTGGTATGGCACGCGAAGAAGAAGATAAAGGTAGAATAGAGCCAATTCGTTGAAATGTAGCCGATGTTATATATGGCATTGAAAATTGTTACCAGCATGTCGATGTTATCATCTTCCAACAGTTTTATGGCTTCCGTAGTAATTTTATCCGGTCCAGTGGCCTTGCCTAGTTTTGCTACTTTTATAGCGTACTCCACCTCGACGCGAATAATGGGAGGGCCGGTAAATTTTCCGTGTGTAAGTTAGTAGTTGGCAGATTCGGTCTATTGTCCTCAAAGACGGACGAAGCATAGTCTGTCCAGATTTTAGCTAGTTCTTCCTGGGTATGAACGTAGATTCCTTGATTATTCTTTATTCGAGTTTCATGTTGTTTCTTGTATATACTCGAAATTTCTGTATGATATGATATGAAGTAATCTGTATGAAGTAGAAACGTGGACATTAAAGGCAGAAACTCTATTAAAACTTCAGGCGTTTGAATTATGGTTATACAGAAGAATCCTGAAGATACCATGGACAGACAAAGTCACCAATTAAGAAGTAGTGCGGAGAATGAACACAACCGCGGATCTGGTCAACATTGTGAAGAGCCGTAAGCTGGAGTACTTGGGACATATAATGAGAAATCAAGGCAGATACGAGCTACTCCAATGCATTTTACAGGGCAAAATTGAAGGAAAAAGAGCCCCAGAACAAAGAAGAATATCCTGGCTTGCTAACCTGAAAGCATGGTATAGAAAGACCTTAACACAGCTATTTTGTATAGCAACCAACAAAATCATCATAACCAGAATGATCGCCAACGTTCGGAACGGACAGGCACACTAAGAAGAAGAAGACTCGAAATTTCTTTGACCTTTTTATGTAGTCCAAAGCTGTCTCTCTTTTCTTGTAGTAATAAAAATTGAAGTGTACATATGTGAAATTATAAATAAAAATTCGTTGTATGAGGACTGTATTACATAGGGATGGTTCAAATAAATTAGAATAAGTAGTAAAGGGTTATACCAATAACAGAAAATCAAGTTTATAAAAAGTCTTTATTACCAATACTGCTGCAACGCACCCACTCGCGGTATTTAAGGGCTGTCACTTGCGGTTGTTCTTTGTACGGAACAGCTGTCTTCACCGGTTTCTCAGCACGTGTCTTGCAGTACTAACAGTAAGCTTACAAGATAAAGCACATTTGCGTTTATTATCTCTACGATTTAAAAGATGATTTGCAGTATTTTTCGCGTAACTATCAGAGATAGAAAGAGAGATCTTTTGCTAGTGGCGGTCAACAGTAGATAGAATACGTCTGTTGCTAGCGTTAGTCAACAGGCAAGAGAGAGAGAGGGAGAGAGAGAGAGAGAGAGAGAAATAGAGTCTTTTTTTTTGCTATTTTTAAACTGTCTATATTTCTAAAGGAGTGCGATTGAAATGGAAGTAGAAAGAGTTGGAGTAGGGTAATGATTGTAAAATTGTGGTAGAATGATATTGATTAATACATCGAAAAAATGACATGATTTTTCGCCTGTGAAAAATTAAACAAACCCTAAAAAAACTTCTATAGTAAGTGTGCAAATAAATATACCTAATAAAATATATTTTTTTTGTATTCCTGTTAAAAATCGGAAGTTAAGGAAACGAAGTATCTAGACACTAAAATAAAAAATCTCTTAATGAGAATGTATCGCAAAATATTTAACACAACAAAGGCTACAATTTAATTTAAACTTACCTGCCAAAGTGAAATATGATCCGCCGGTTCTAATTTAAATTGATCTGGTGGTGTAACAGGAACGCCGACATAATTACTAACAACCGGAAAATGGATTAAATATAAATCCAAATATTCCAGCTTTAAATCTTTAAGTGATTGTTTAATAAACATTTCTACTCTATCTGCATGTCCTCCACATATGGGCAATTTAGTTGTAATGAAAAGCTCTTCTCGCTTAATTTTTCCGGAAGAAAACCATTTGTTTAGTATTTTACCTATGAGGGCTTCATTTCCATATACAGTAGCGGTGTCAAAGTGGCGGTAGCCAGCGTCTAATGCAGCGTTCATAGCATCTTCTAATTCTTGTTCATCTGTGGACTAATAAAAAAAATTATGACTTAGTTATTCTTCTGATACAGCAACCTGTGTTTATGTGCTTAGCTTTTTAATTACTTAAAGTAATTGATCATAACTTTGTTGCTACAAAAACCACCATATTGAATTAATTATAGTTCGGCATACAGTTCAATATTAAACATAATATAATATAATAAAATATAATATAATATAATATAATATAATATAATATAATATAATATAATATAATATAATATAATATAATATAATATAATATAATATAATATAATATAATATAATATAATATAATATATTATAATATAATATAATATAATATAATATAATATAATATAATATAATACAATATAATATATTATATTATATTATATTATATTATAGTATAATATAATATAATATAATATATTATAATATAATATAAGTAATATAATATAATATAATATAATATAATATAATATATTATAGTATAATATAATATAATATAATATAATATAATATAATATATTATAATATAATATAATATAATATAATATAATAATATATAATATAATATAATATAATATAATATAATATAATATAATATAATATAATATAATATAATATAATATAATATAATATAATATAATATAATATAATATAATATAATATAATATAATATAATATAATATAATATAATATAATATAATATAATATAATATAATATAATATAATATAATATAATATAATATAATTTAATATAATATAATATAATATAATATAATATAATATAATATAATATAATATAATATAATATAATATAATATAATATAATATAATATAATATAATATAATATAATATAATATAATATAATATAATATAATATAATATAATATAATATAATATAACATAATATAATATAATATAATATAATATATAACATAATATAATATAATATAATATAATATAATATAATATAATATAATATAATATAATATAATATAATATAATATAATATAATATAATATAATATAATATAATATAATATAACATAATATAATATAATATAAAATAATATAACATAATATAATATAATATAATATAATATAATATAATATAATATAATATAATATAATATAATATAATATAATATAATATAATATAATATAATATAATATAATATAATATAATATAATATAATATAATATAATATAATATAATATAATATAATATAATATAATATAATATAATATAATATAATATAATATAATATAATATAATATAATATAATATAATATAATATAATATAATATAATATAATATATATATAATATAATATAATATAATATAATATAATATAATATAATATAATATAATATAATATAATATAATATAATATAATATAATATAATATAATATAATATAATGTAATATAATATAATATAAATATAATATAATACACTCAGATGCAAAAATTTTTTAGATATTTTGATGATTTTTTTAGCACACAGTGTATAAATTTATAAATATTAATTTGGTGTAGTCAGTTTTTTGATAAAATTTTATATTTCACTTATTTTACGAGGTTAATTACAACGTGGTTTTATTATCCTAACTTTGAAACATCCTGTGGAATAATTCCGTCTGCGAATGTTCGTCAAACCTTATTTTTCGGTTGCAACCATGTCTCCTTAGTATTTTATTTTTTGTTTCATTTCAAAATATGCCTTGTTTCATTTTTAAGAACCAAATGAATTTGCCACCCACAATTTAGGACTTTTTTAATTATGATTATTTTCGAGTTATTTTGTAATACGACGAAGTAGCTTTGGTGACTGTTATCATTATGTAATATTGACACTTACATTTTGTTTACCCTTGGTCGATCATGGTTCTTAGTGACAAAAATTGTGCGAAAGCCATTACTTTGGTTGAAGATGGGCAAAATTATGAATATGTGGCTAGAGTACTACACACGCATTGCTCTACCATCCAAAGGGTAGTGGAACGTTTTATACGAACTGGAGCAAACAAACGTAAAGTGGGAAGTGGCAGGAAGCGCAAAACAACCGCTTTAGATGATCGTTTTATACGAGTCAACGCTTTGCGAAATCGTCTTTAACAGTAGTGCAAACAAAAAAACAGCTTGAAGAGGTTTATGGCAATAATTTAAGTGTATTTCCAGTTCGTCAAAGATTACATGAATTTGATTTGCACAGTTGCAGACCAGCAATTGGGCCCAAATTATTTCCACGGCACAGAGTGGCTAGACTACAATTTTTCAGGGAACATTTACATTGGAATTTAGGACAATGGAGTAATGTTTTTTTACGGATAAATCGAGATACTGTCTTCACTCATCATCATCGGATGGGCGAGAACGAGTATGTCGTCGTTAAGAGAGATTTGCAGAGGGCGCTTTCAGTCCCCGCGATGGCCATGGAGGAGGCTCGGTGATGGTATAGGCAGAAATATCCCGAAAGGTGCACACTGAATTGGTATTTATTAATTGTTCGTTAACTGTACACCGGTATATTAAGAAAATTTTAGCGAATCACGTAGTACCCTTTACTCAATATATCGACGATGATTTTCTATTAATGCAAGATAATGCGCGATCCCACTCTGCAATGTATATTACGCAATATTTAGAGGAATTAGGTATTATTAAAAGAACTGACCAGCGTGTTCGCCAGATCTGAACCCAATAGAGCACGTTTGGGACATGCTTGGTAGAAATATTAGAGGTCGCACCAGCCTCAATTAACGAACTTCGCTTGGCTCTAGAAGAGGAATGGCAAAACATCCAGCAAGATGATATTCGCAACCTTATAGACAGAATGAGCCGACGTATACAGGTAGTTATAGAGACTAGGGGAGGTAATAGTTATTTTTTAGTAGTTTTTCTTTGTTATTTTTGTACTTAAGTTAAGTTACATTTAAGTTGTTTTTTATATGTTTTGTTATTGTTATCATTGTTAATTAAAACCAAGATCATGTCGTTGCTTTTAACCATTATTTAAATATAGTGGTTCTCGGACGTCGATATGACATTCATTCGATATCAGTGACCAAAGCTTCCAACGTCGTATTACAAATTAATACCAAAGTTAATATTAATAATAGGAAAAGTTGTAAATTATGGGTGGCAAAGTCATTTCGCTCCTAAGAATGAACCAATCTATATTTTCGCATAAAACAAAAAACATAATACTTAGAGGACATGGTTGCAACCGAAAAATAAGGTTTTACGAAAACACGCTAACAAAATTATTCCACAGATTGTTTCAAAGTTAGTTTAAAATACCATCTTTCGATTAACCCCGCATAATAATATAAAATTTTATTAAAAAACTCACTATACTAAATTAAAATGTATAAATTTTTGTATAAATTTATGTATAAAATGTAAAAAATTAAACAAAAACATCAATACTTCTGAATTTTGATATAAAATGCTTTTAATGAAGTTAATAATTAACGAAATATTAAATAAAATAAATATATCAGCAGGATAATTGTCAATATGATTTGACAAAATGGCAAAATGATTGAATTTTACATCAACGATTTTACGTTTTGTATTAAATTAACGTTATAATCAAAATAACCTTTGATTAAATAAAATGCAAATATCGAGCACAGTTTAATTATTTTAATCTTGCATAAGTACTTTCGCTCCCTGGAGCATTTTCAGGGGCATTTCGTCAATTGTTGCCTATCCGACAAGAATAAAATGTTATGAACATAAAATACTACACTACACAAGGACATGTCTTCGTCTTCTGTACACAATGTAGCTTCGCTTATTTTTTAAAATTTTAAAGTGTTAGTTTGTCGAGTGAATTATAGTGACAATAAATAGATTAATACCTATTCATATTTTCAAGATAATATAAGTGACAATGACCCCTGTCGCACGCATGTGACCCCTGTCATACGTGAAACAGGACAAAGAGAGCCTTATGCTCTCTTCGTACAGCCAACTTTTGGCTTAGGCCCTTAAGGCAGGTCTATTTGGGAGACCAGCACGAGACCTTTTGAGCATTGAGGCCATGTGCGGCAAGCATGGGCCCGGTGGCCAGACCAGTCGGATGCTCAGCTGGCAAGGAGAACCAATTAATTTTTGCCAAATCGGCAGCTGAGTGGCCTCTTAGGTTGGTGCCTCTCCGTGCAGGGCACATACTTTTTAGGGACATCAGGTCCAAAGTAATGCTCATACCAAATTAAATTCAGTAAAGTAACTAGGGAGAAAAGCTTCTAGCTACCCCTTAATTCCAGGTGGCTTAACCACAACCAGGTGTTGTTTATTATCCAAATCGCCCGACGTAAAGTTCATAAGCCTTCACTACGTATGTCAGATGTAATGAAGGAGTGGGGGAAAAACCTGGGGGTCAGATAGGTACCGATCCAATGATTAGCTCTTCTGGAGCGAGACCGGTTTGATATTCGGACATTAGGATCCCACTGACTAGCAGTGGTATACACATATCACTAGGGGTTGGGTTGAACGCTTCGCGTGTGTGTGTGTGTGTGTGTCTATTCTAAGCCAGGAAGCCAGCATCCAGACAATACTAGAAGCCACGAATTGAAGATACCATATTTTTGTTTGTAATAAAGAACCCTGAAAAATTCAATAAATACAGTTGTAGAAATCTGAAATCTGCATATAGCACGCATAATTAGTGCGAAGAGGACAGTATGAGGTTGTTCTGTTAAAAGAGAGACCGAATATAATATGAAATTAGTACCGTCATACGAGTTTATTTTTAACGCCAATTCAAATAATAATACAATATTACGATTTAAATTTAGAATTTGCATAAATATACAGATAGATATTTGTAGAGGCTTTTCTATTTTACTTTTCATGTTACTGCATGGCGTGCCCTATAAACTGAAGAAAAAATAGACATAACTGGAACAACATAAATTATTTACATCCAAGGTTAGATAAATTAAAGTTAAAATTTAGCTTTTATTATAAGCGGTTGTATAATATAAAATTCATTGTATCTTATAGTAA